TATGCCTAATAAAATGTCTTTAAAAAGGTAAAAAAACTAATCATATGAACCTTTGAGCTAGTTGGATTTTATCTTCTATTTCCATTTCTCGAGTAATAGATTCCATTATCAAATTAATGCAATGTGTTTCAAAGGGAGTCCAATATGATTATCTTCTCCTTTGCATCAATAAAACCCTTGCAGAGTTGTAGTTAGCCCGATTATTTTCGTAACTTGAACAATTCATTCATCACTAATCTCTTTAACTATATTATTCATCAATTGAAAAGTATAACGCTTGTTCTTCTATTCGCTTGTTGCATTAATATATTTTAAGAAAATAATTCTCATTGAACAATACACAGAAAAATTAACTCTCATTCTAAGTGGTTCATCTATCGCACTTTTATTGTTTCAATTTCTTTTTTTTTTTAATCCAAATAAATATCAGAGATCTAATGGTTAGTAGATGGCCTTGCTCGTTTAAAAAATGTGACGAAAGTTGTGATCTATATGATCTTCCCAGCAAAAATCACATGGGGGTATATGAGTGGCAAATCTGAGAGGTGGAATGTGGTCATACCACATTTAGAAAACAAGGTAAGTAGAACAACTAAAACTGAGTTTCAGTCAATCTAAGTCCTGAGTCACTCGAAATTCAAAACTGAAGCTTTCAGACAGTTCCAATTTGATTTCAATCGAAGCAAAAACTGAATGGTCAAAAACTTAAACTTTACAACACACTTTCATTTACATTTCTTATTTGTAATCAATCTAACAGGGCATCACCCAAAACTGAAGTAGAGGTATCAAATTTATGTCATCTTCTGAAGTTTCTATTCCAAAGAATCACTTTGTACTGCATGCATTTTTGGTGGTGGTGTTGTTGAAAGATGCCAGCAGTATCTTCGTGGACATGCTATTTAGAATTACCAACAACAACATATGCCGTAAGAAACTATTTTACAATTACATATTTCCTATTTAAAGTCACCAAAAAATGCTGCAATAAATTACTTGTACAAGTGTAGACTGGTGTGTGACCTAATTTAAGTTCTAAATTTAAGGCAAGAAACTTCACAAGAGTTATGTTTACAATTACCCGACCAAGAGGAGCCCATTCAGAAACTTTTTTTTTTAATGCCCATTCAAAAACTAGATAAAGAAAGGATGCATTATTAGGGTTCACACCTAAATCTAAAAAAACTGTATGAAGGGAGGATATAGTGTCAGGACTCACTCCTAAAAATGGAAAACCAGATAAAAAAAATATGTCGTATCAGGAGTCACACTTAACTCTAGAAAACTAGACGAAAAAAGGATGTTGTATCAGGACTCACACTTAATTCCGAAAAATCGAGCAAATAAAGGATATTACATGAGGACTTACACCTTTACTCTAGAGAACTAGGAAAAGAAAGGATGGTGTTGGAGAATATACACCTAACTCTAGAAGAAAAGATGTCATAAGAGAACTTACAGTTGACTCCAAAAAACTAGATAGAGGAAGGATGTTGTATCAAGACTCACATCTAACTCCATAAAACTTAATAAAGAAAGGATGTCGTATCAAGATTCACAGTTTCACACCTAACATCAAAAAATTGGATGAATAAAGTAAGTCATATTAGGACTTGCTCCTAACTTCGAAAAACTTGATGAAGATAGGATGTCATATCACGACTGTTAACCTCATTTTTGTATAAGGTCAAAATCCTAAATATCATCTACATTCAAACATTGAACTTCAATCAATTGTTCACATTCAATCACTAAATCTCAATCAATTACTCATATTCAATCATTAAATTTCAATCATTCAATCAATAAAGGTTGAATTCTCAATCATCTTTTAAACACTCAATGAGGTTCAATCATTCAGTGATTGTCATTCAATCAAGCTCAGGATTTATCTTCAAACCATTCTTAATCATTCAATAAACATCAAAACTTCAATCACCATCAAGCTCAGGATCTATCTTCAAACCATTCTTAATCATTCAATAAACTTCAAAACTTCAATCACTTTCAATCCTTTAATCAAAATCCAGTGTAAAATCCAAAACTCAAAATTCATTTTCTTTTCTTTTAGATTTAATGCAGTAGTTTCTTTCATACACACAAGTAATTCTCACAACGTTATTCCATATCAATTTTTGTTCATCAAGTACTATGTTATCCATTCATCTACCTTATTATCCTTCCTTTTTTTTTACCCACTTAGCACCACCTATGTTTATCAAAATAATTGGACCAATAATGTCATGATAGTTGCATGTCAAAATAAATCGTTTATTGTACATCATTTAAATAAAAAAACTCATGCTCAAGCCATTAAACCCTAACATCGAAATCAAAATAATAAAAAAATAGTAAAACAATAAAAATAATCAGCATGTGTTATTTACTGTATTTACTATTTACTATAGCACATATAGTACACTATTTTGTCTCCCTACACCTTGCTATGCCAATAGCGCTAGAGGCGTACCTAATTATACCATGAGCTATATTTTGCGGTATTTACATGTATAAATCTAACTATGATATTTTCTTTTGTTTACATCCTTTATTTTGAGGGGTTTTTTTCCCCTCCAATAATATGAATAGGCCCTCCAAAAATACTATAATGCAATACCATGTGGATTACGAACTTCGGCAACACATACCATCCCCCGCAAATTCTACATTTTGGAAGAAATAGAATGAAAAAAAAATTGTTATCAAAATCTTCTATGTAACTCATCTCTCAATCTAGCATATACAATCTCAAATGATGGCAAATTTTACAACTCCTAGCAATACAACGGGCCATTGAGCTTTTCATATGCCAAGGGGCCCACCTTGTGGGGCCTAGGGGAGTTAATATTCACTATTTGAGGAGAATAAATCATGGGAGAATAATTAGGAAAGTTTATTTAGGGAAAATGGGTGATTTGAATTTAGATTTGGAAGGAAATTAGGAAAGGTTTATTTAAGGAAATAGAGTTGATTTGAATTTAGAATTTAGATTTTGGAGTTATTTAAGAAAGTTTCCTCATTATGTTTATGCTATTTAGGAAGTGTTTAATTGTTTAAGAAGATTTCCTAAAATATGCTTAATTGTTTAGAAGTGTTTCCTAAATTACGTTTAATTGTTTAGGAAGGTTTCCTAAATCATGTTTAATTGTTTATGAATGTTTTCTAAATCATGTTTAAATTATTTAGGAAGGTTCTATTTATGATTGTGTTCTTAGGGGTAGGGGGGAGTTTTCTCTGGTTTAGATATGATATTGTTGAGTTTGGTTTTCCTAGTGTTTGTTGTGAGTTCCTAGCAGCAACTAGGATTTGTGGGAGAGCTGATCTAGTAAACTAAGTTGATCCGAGTTAATTACTCTAGCATCTTTGATAATTACATAGAATTTTAGTCTTATATTAAATTCTTCAGTATGATTACACACATGTAGTAAATCTTCTTTGTTGTTCATCATGAAATTAGCATGTGATAGAGCTAACTCTGCATTGAATTATTGTTCACTAGTTCTTATTCATTTAATTTATATTCATGTGATGGAAATTCATGCACCTTAATTTTATTAAATAAAATAAATATAATTCCTGCAAATCATAGTAATTATATAAATTATATTTGTCATGTTGATTTATATAATATATGTACAAATTTATTGCAACAATATAGGCCCGATATGCTTGTATATAGGTCGGTAGACCCTATTGGATATTGACTAGCAGGGCCGATGAGCCCACAGAGTGATGACTCTATAGAAAATTATTGGACTTCCTTGAGTTGGTATTTACCTTCTCAGTGATGAGTACTTGATAGACCGACTATAGATTTATGTAGATATGTATATATATGTATAAATAGATTTGAGCTAAAAAAATATAAATGACTGATAGGTCATTTGGGGGTATGATGATACCCAATGTGGTTGCATCAGAATGATATTATGTGTGTAGCAGTTTTATATATGAATTGGTTTCATTAGCATATCAAAATTTGTCACATGAAACCTAGCATATCTAATGGCTACTTTGATTTAGTACCTATAGGTTGCTACTCTCACCTTTGATTGTTCATATTGCATGTCACATTCCTTTGTCATTTATGTTTTAATATATAGGAGTTACTTGTTATGTTTGATTTATCAAACTCACTCGTTGTTGTCTTTTTACAACATGTCATGTTGGTGTATTTAGCTGACCATCACCTCATGAATAAATTTATTGGCAGTATATTATATTAGATAGTTTATATTTTGTAGCAGATAATTATGCATTTTTATTGTTGAGGGTTGAGTAGTTTCATTCATGTTGTTATTTATTTCAAACTTATTTTTGCTTGAAGTAGTCCTATTACTTTGGTGTATTGTTATTGGAATTCCTATTAATGAAACAAATATTTGATTTCTGTTCAAGTGTTTATTCTAACTATTGAGTGGAAACCATTACCCACAACCCATGATCATGTTATCTTGAATCAATATATCTTTCTTTATTATCCTCCCATCATGAAATTCCATGAATTTACTGCTCCATCTCCGTTCTCCATAATTAATGCCAGAATGATTTCTCAAATATAATTTATGCACCACTACCTTGCCCTCCAGATTGAATAACCCTAGCCCTTGAGCCAGTCATTCCTTTAACATGAATCACAGGCTAATTTCATCGATGCCACGTGAAGATTAACTGCTACAAACTAATGCTCTAAGCAACCAAAAAAATCTCAACAAATCTTCCCACAAATCATTAAGAAGTGAAGCGCCCATGCCACCGACCTTATAATTTAAGTTCATATTAACAAACCCGCAACTGATAGCAGTGCCCTGAAACAGCAACAAACACAACCAATATTATTCATCCAGCAATCATTCAATTAGGGATATGATTGAACACACCAATTACCATCTCATAGCTACCACTGAAAAACTTACTAATAAAATATGGAAAATTTATTACTAAACATGCAGAAATCTAGTCTCCAGAAACCAGCTACGAAGAACTACAAGATAGATTACCAAAGTTTCGACCAACGATGCAATGCCAGGTTGGCCCGTGATTCTTGTCAAACTCCTTCTTGATGTATTCCGCTCTGTCCTTGTCCACAGCATGTTTATCGAACCCCTAAACCCTCGCGGCCAAAAGAAGATCCCCGTTCAGCATTCGATCATAAACTAGAACAAACCAAGAGATTGGTACAGAATGAAAATAAGAAAGTGCGGAGGATCGTACAGATAGGGCGCAGTTGATAGCCTCCTTCTGCACCTCATCCTTCATGTCCGCGCTCTTCAGCACGACCCTTTTAGCCCGAGCAACCTCCTCGGCCCCTAAAGCCGGCTTCTTTTCCTCGTAATAGCTACCCCTGACTCCTGCCTGCGGCAGTATTCCTCCACCTGCGATGCCACCGCCTGGTCTTCGACTCTCCTCCGCCATCTTCTTCCCGATTTACTTTATCTGTGATTGCTTTGGCTGAGTTTACGAGTGAGAAGAAGACGATTTGAGCTCAAGAGCACCTAGGAGTTGGAGGTTCTTGAGGTAGGTGAGGTGCCGTAACCGCTGCAGAGGCTACATCGCTCACCGAAACAGCTCAGGGAGATGGGCCATATGACCTAGACGGTAAGCAAACCGCAAATCAAAATCCAATCAGCAATGCATGTTCTTGTGGGGTCACTACAATTGGGATCCTAGGCTAATAGATTATGTGCATCTATATCTATTCTTAAAAAAATAAATATATATTAAATTTAGAGAAATTTCAATTTAAACGCTTCAAGATATGAAAAACATAAGAAATATATTTATTATTTTATTTATTAGATAAATATACTTTAAAATTCATTTCAGATTAAATTACTCTTTTATGCTCATGGTCTCTCCTATGTATTCTTGAATTGTATATTGAAGCAAGTTTCAAAAAGATGATTTAAATTAGTTTAAATTTGAATTTTAAATTGAATCTTAACATGATTGTGATTTGAACATGTTTGAAGGTCAATAAACTTCACTGAAATAAAAAATCGTGGCAACAATGGGAGTTTGTTGGGGGTTCATGAATAAGAGTAGAGGGGGACCAACAAAATTGAGAGGTATATTTATCTCAAATAAATAAAATGATGATTATATTTCTCTTATTTTTAGTATTAATATAAAGTAAAATTTTCATATATATATATATATAGCCTCATGATACTGTAGATTGGCAGTTTAAATTTAAAAAGATAGGCTTTTCAAAATTTTAATAAAATATTAAAAAGAAACATTATAAAAATTTATTAAACAAATCTAATAGAAAAAGAAAAGTAAAATTAGGATTAAACTATTATTAAACTATTTATATAATATACTATAAATAAAAGGAAAGAGATGACTAATTAGTTTAACTTATGTATAGATTATATTTTAAATTAAATTATTATATTTATGATACACATGTTGAACACACATATCCTCCAATCACCATCGCCTGCCTCCCTCCGACCTCCATTGTCGGCCAACTACGGTCCCTTCAACCCTCGTCACCTGCCGACTACGTCCCTTTCAACCCTCGTCGCCCGCCGACTACTATCCATACAACTTTCATTGCCATCGACTACGATCCCTCCGACCTCCATCTCTCACTACAGTACTTCTGACCTCTATCATTCTGCCAACCAAATGAACAGATTAACATTCTCTAGAGAATTGCTCCCTTATCATTGGATTTTTCCAACTATAATGTGTTCTATTCTATACATTGAGTCAAGACCTTCCCCCCAAAGAAGGGCACAATTTAAAATCAACTACAAACAATAGTAGAATTATTATAATTGGGCCATACCCCAAAATTTTTCCCCTTTTCATGAGTTTTCATGTAAAAAAATTGATGTCTCTTATAACTCTCGCACCCTCTCTCTTTATCTATATATGTGTTGGATACTTGTTCAAAGCTAAGACGTTCACCTCTTTATCTCTCTACCACCATGAATGTTCCATCCTGCAATAAGTATCAAATTTTGAATTTAGGCTTCATTTGGGACAACTTTCTTAATAATTTCAAAAGTAGTTTTCTAGTACTTTTTTTAAAAAAAAAAATTGTACTAAAAAACTACTTCATAAAGCAATAAAAAAGTCGCCCCAAAGCCTTAGACTCAATTAACTGCATATGTGACCCATTTGTGTAAATTTGGCAATAAAAAAAATAAAAATTTGCGATGTGTTGATTAAAAAGTGATTAAAAAGCTATATATTGTTGATACTTGATCATCAGCATTCAAATGAGTGTGATAAACAAGACACATTAGCTATGAAAATTAAAGAAAAAAATGAAAGAAAGATAAATGTTATTAATTAGCAAGCCTGAGAAAATTAAAGTGAGAGAAAGTGATCAGAATTTTGTGAACGCATGTTATTACATTTTCTTTGCTCTATATTTTAGGGAAAAAGGGACCTTAATCTACTAATAAGGGCAATGACTTATTAAATAACTACAAAAGTGAATAGAAGTCACAAAAGAAAACAATTAAATTTATGTGATTTGGCTTAAGCCTATGTTCACAGGCACATAGAGATTAAGTAATCCATTATATGAAAAATTACATTTCACACAAAATTAGAAATATAGATAAAGATAGAATTAAGTTAGCTAGCTAAGACAAATTGTAGTCACATATTACAAAGATGGAGAGATTATTAGGTGCGGAGTGCGGACAGGGAGAGCCGTCCGCACAAACCTTAATCCGCGCTAGGTATGAGCACTCGGTATCGCTGGGTACCGTTGGGTACCGCTAGGTACTCATGTTTGTGCAGATGGTGCACACTCCGCACCTAATAATTTTTCACAAAGATGAGGGCTAGACTTCTATTTTCTTAGAAGTCATAAAACTCTTCTTGCAAGCATCAGAAAGACTTCTTTTATTTCTAGGATGATGCCCTTCTCATCACTCTTTCTCTTTTCTTCCTTCTTTTTGTTGATTCCTATTGTGATATGCTATATATGTGAGGCTGCACATGTTTATATAGTGAAAAGTTAACATTCTAACATTACTGATCAATAAACTATGAAATTTTTATAATATCTATTGCAAATTTTTATGATAACCTCCATTTAAGACTTTATAATAACATTTATTTATGACTTTATCATAAACACTCATTAGAACTTTGTAGAAGATTATAATTAGGAGTTTGTAATAGTTACCAATTAAAAAAATAGAATAAAATCAAATATTATCTTAAAAATTAATGAAATTAAACGCCACGCTCAACAATCTCCTACTTTGAGTCAAATTTTTAAAGTGCTAGCTTAATAATCAATTTTTAATACTTTACCTTATATATATAAATATATATCTAAATTAGAATACATATTATTAGAACAAGTTGAGTTTAAAATACTAGGCATGTTATTTTTAAATGACATTTCTTTTTAAAACAAAACTATGTAATCTCTATAATTTTTTTTAGATTTACTCTTACCATAACCAAAAGAGAACCTTTGCTAATAAAGTCTCCATCTAAAAAAGGTTATGATGGTAAAGGTGGCTAACCATTGTATATCATCGTAATGTTGCCCAAAGAATCTCATAGCACTGAAAAAAACCACATTACTAGGCTTCATCTTCAGAATCGTGCACCACCTTGCTCATTTTGGTCCTCTTATTTCTTATTAGTACATGCACATCTTCATCAGATTCAGAATCCTCTGCAGCACCATCTTCACCAATGGGGTCTGGAGATGCTACTTTTTCAGCAGGATTGTCTTCACTAGGCCCTTCAGATTCATTACCAGAGTCATCCTGAGATGAGTTAGAACTGATCGAACCAGATTTATGCACAATTTCCTCCTCTTGCGCTGCGGTTTTCTTAATTTCTAAGATCTTAAAATCTCTAACTGTGCTGCGTTTGGCATTCCTCAGCAAGTTTACCTTAGTCAACTTGCTGAGTTGGATCAGATATCTTTCATAATCTTCAATCTGAAATATGAGGTCTGGAATGCATTTATTTTCCCTTTTGATCTTATTGATAATACCTCTGATACGAACATTCCCTTGCTGGTTCTGCATTTAAACCAACCAAAACGTCTAAGTAAAATTTTCAGAGGGAGCTTAAATACGTAGCTAGTTGCATCTATTACCCTTTGCACCAGAGCCACAAAGTTGTATAGTTTACTAGTAAGCTTTCTGCATGCAACTTCAGCAAGCTTCTGAAACTTTTGCCCAGGTAGAAGTTGCTTGCATCCCTTCGAAGCAATTCGAAGCTTAGTCATTCGAGCTAAAAGCCTGTAAAACTTTGCAGTCATCTTCAGAAACTGTTCAGCTTGAGAATCTGTCAATATTAAAAAATATTATAACAAAGAAAGAGTTAAATGTTATTATAAACAAGAAAGCATACCTTTGAGATTCATCTCTGTGAAGAAAGCCAAAACATTCACCAGTGATTCAGACCTGGAGTGGACCACTTCTTCCAGAATCACACCAGGTGACCTCTCAGGAAATTGAAGGTCCCTTGTAGAAAGATCAAATTCATACTTGAGGTTTGAGATTGCCTTCAGTTTTGATACAGACCAATCCAGGTCCGCAAGACAAGATTCAATTAATTGAAACAATGCAACAGTAATAGCATCCTTTGTTGAATCGTTGACAAAGGGATATGTTCTAGAGATCTCAATTGGATCTTTCTCCTCAGATCCCATAACTTGAAGTAGTTCTGAAGCTATGTCTTGTGCAGTAATAAGTTCACTTTTAGATGGCATTAAATGAAGGGCTTGTGTTACCAACTTTTGTGCAGCCTTCGGATTTACTATCTTTTTGTTTTTGCAAACATTCATCATCCAAGTTCCATCTAATTTCCTCTGCTCAAATGGCAAGGTCTTCCAAATAAGCAAGAACAGCTCAGACACAACCTGAAAATGAAATTGAGCTGACATATAAACTTCTAAGTACTGAAGGTCGGAAGGTCCCAAAATCAAAGTTTAATGAAAATTAAGCTATAGTTTAGCAGACTCTGATGTTTATCACTATTAGCAAAATAGCATAAATAAAATATTTACCACTGCTTCCTGGAAAAGTGAAAGAGAGATTAGCCCGGAATAAAGTGGCTTTAGTCTTTTGAATAGGAATACATGGAGTGTCCGGACATAAGAATCATCAAACGTCACTGCTTGATTGTGGTTCATGCTGTCAGCAACTTCAACTGTATTTCCCAGATTTAGTTCAGACGTATCCAGTCTGTCTAAAACCTCAATTAGTTCAGTTAAGTAAGCTTTTGAGGAGCTCATTCTAAACAATTCATTCAAGCATAACAATGCTTGATGAAGCTCGCTCCCTTTATTTTCAATTTTCCTTTTCCCTTTAGCTTCTTTCTTAGTTGTGTTATTTTCTACTTTGGCTCCTGATTTGAGCAACCATATCAACTGCACAATAGGAAGTGCAAGCTGTTTCAAATCTCCGAAAACTATAGCTTTGTAAGGATCACCACTTGATCCCCCATCAATAGAGATGATGGATTTTAAATGATGAAAGCAAACCTTCAAGGTAAAGGATATTAGTTTTAAGCATTGATCCAATGTCTTGCACAGAGATGATCGATTATGATTCAAGGGAGTAGTTTGGTCGGTGAAGTTGGAAGCATTATATGAATTTACAGCAAGAATTAAGAGCTTGCGGATGCTTGATGTGGCCAAAAGTGACCCTCTAACTGAAAACAACTTCAAATGAGAAGTACGAGGAGAGTCTTTCAACTCACGATCAGTTTTGTGTTGGTCAACGGTTTTTGAAGTTCCTTTTCTAATGCCAGATCCCTGTTTATTCAAGCCTGATTCCTTCTCAACATAGTCATATGAATCAACCAGCCACATAATTTCTTTTTCAAGAACCGCCTCATCTTCATGTGCTGCTTTTTCCAACTCTGTAGCTGCTATATTGATAAAGACCTCCAAAATTCCACGCAAAAGGCAACCATAGATTTCAGACTTCTCACCTTGGAAAGAATGAGAACCCAAACATTCATTCTGTTTGAAGTTAACTGCACCCCAGGCAAATCAACCAATAAGAAGCATGCAAGCTGATATGTGGTAGGAAAACAAAAGAAAGTGATTTCGGCCTAAGTGGAGTTTAAAGAAACGGAGTAAGCAGAGTTTAGGTAAGCGGCATTTTTTTTCTTTTGAGATCGGTGGTATTACGGAGGTATAGGAAAAGAGATTATGCAAAAGGCGTGTTAACAAACAACACACTGTAACTATTTTCGACGATTTATACCTAAAACAGCATAATTAAGGAGAAACAAAGGAGGCCTTCATAAGGTACTGAAACTACGGGATACAATATTGAGAGACAACTGACCTTCAAATATCCATTTGCTCAAAGTTTTGCGAATTTTTGAAAGAGCAATTTTAAACAGCTCACTTGATGATACTCTACCGGCCTGGTCTTGTTTATAATAGAGGAAAAAAATTATAGAAAGTAAGACGATCAGTAAAGAAACTTGAGCTCCATGTATTAAAGCCAAAACAACGCAATACCTCGTTATCTTGTGAAAGAGTAAAGCCAAAGCATGGTAATGAATACTCTGATTGATGATTAGATCGTCCATGTTGCTGGAGGAGAACAACCCAAGACACGCATGATAAAAGTTGATCTAAAGGTTCAATTTGAGAAACTTTTCCATTCTCCACCACATAGCAAAGATCTAACCTGAGTGGATATTCAGCATCCTTAAAAAAAAAAATGTCAGATTCATGTTTAAAAAAAAAAAAAGAGATGGAGCATGAAATGCTACATCAAAAAACCTTAAGAAAATGTATAAAATCAGAAAATTGATTTAAGACCTGGCTGTAAAACTGAAGGAAGTGAGGCCATAGAATGTCAAATACATGCCCAGAAGTAGAGGGATCCAACATGACAAGTTTTGTAAGGCCCTTGTATACAATCTCCTTCACTGAAACCTGACTCATGCAAGGCATTCATTCCAGAACGGACAAAGATACATAAGCAAATAAATCAAACATCATAAAACTGCACCTGCTGCGTGAGACACCTCCTTAGCAGTCCATTCAACTCCTGAAAGAGGCATCCTTCCGTTCTGCAAAATGACTCAGCTTGCTGGCTACAACTAGCTTGGCTAGATGATTCTTGAAAAGAGTCAATTCTCTTTGATCTATTTTCCTCTAAAATCAAATCAATGATGGTACTAGCAGCAGCAGAACGAACAGCATCTTGTCGCCTGAACATAGCCTTTCTTACAACCAAAATTATGTAATCCTACAAGATAACAGAGAATGTTTGATAGAGTGCTGCTTCTTTTCCAGATTAAAGGGTCTTACATTTAGGCCCAATCTAATACAATTCAGAAGGAAAAGGTGTAATTACCCGGAGATCTTTACTGAACTTAATTAGTGGTAAGATGGCATCTATTACAGAAATGGCAGTTTTTTCATGCATGAATGTGAAATAATCCAGTAATTCCTTCAGGCGTGCAACATATTCAAGCATAGGGTAAGGGTAATCTTTTACTAGATAACCGAACAGCCTTCATAAAAGTTAAAGGAAACATATTAGTGAATATGGCAAAGCATTCTTGGGAAAAAAGAATGGTAAATAAACAAAGAATGAGTTCAATTACTTGATAACTGGAGAGCTTTTCTGATGATTCAAAGAAAGAATCCGGAATTTACACTGTTCAATCATCTGTAGCTTGGAAATACCCACAAAAAATAAAAAGCATTCAAGCGTTATATCTAATGTTCTTTACATAAAATAGATACAACAATCAGAAACAGGGCAGAAAAATTAAGCATCTTCTTGACTATCATCGATTTGATTGTGGCCCTCTCCAGTTTATTTGCACGGAAATTTTCTTAAAAGGAAAGAACAATGGACAGTACCACTAGATTCATAATCCATTGTGGAAACCCATATCATTTTGATGAATAAAAACACTATGCTGTCTTGGACAAACCTTTGTCTTTACAAATGTGAGTTAGAACCTCTCATAAAAAGCTCAAGTGCATAAATCATGAAGGAAGACTACTGAAGTATGCATTCCTAGGTTTTCCCAAAGAAAATGTTATAACGTGCCAATGCATTTGTCAACCATTGAAGCATGAAAACTTAATTAGAGTAAAAGCTCGAAATAGTCCCCTGACTATTGATAAATGCTCAAATTAGTTCCAAAGTTTCTTATTGACCCAATTTGGTCCCTAGGTTAAAATTACCATTTAAATTCATGGAAAAACCTAGAGAGCTTTGCTTCTTTCCGGACATTTAGGTAAAATTACTTCTTACATGCTCCCTCGCCTTCCCGCTATAAGCCCTATAGACCGAATTGAGCAAGGGAGAAGTTGTGAACAAGGCAACGTGAGCGAGCCAGAGCGACATGAGAAAGAAAGCCGCAAGCAAGACGCGCTGCAAAGTGCTTCGTTTCACATTATGGATTCATTTGCAGCTACGAGACAGACGACGCACCATGAGCGAGACACCCTAAGGGGATGTTTGGATGCTGGAAGAAAGATGGCTACCATCACAACAACCAAGCTCCCGTCATCGTCATTACTTCTGATCCTACAAAAGTAGGACGAGGTGTGACTTTGGATCCGACATGAAGGAATGTTGTCGAAGGAGGTGAAGAAGTTATTTAGTGACTCGTTCAAAACTCTACCTCTCACGCAATTTAGATTAATTGATAATTAACTTAGATTTTAATTATATTATTTATAATAATTAGTTAATAATGATAATTAAAACTATTAATTAACTCGTATATAATTAAAATTAATAAGTTATCTCATAATTATATTATTTTTTTAATTGTAATTTATTGATAGTAATTAAAACTCAATGGGATCTTGATAGGGTTCATCATCATTCCCCCTACCATCTGCTTTAAGTGCACGGTGATAAAATTTTAACTTTCAATGTTAAATTTTGCTACTACTATATGTTGGATATTATGTATCTACTTAACAACTAGCCTTAATCGAAAATTTTCTCTCATTATCATGAGGGGTAATTAACTATAAGGGCTTGCACCTATAGGAAACATGAACTCATATTATAAAGTCCTCGCAAAATGTGGATGAAATCTCTGGGCAGTATTTTATCTAAAACTCAATATGTCGTCTAAAACATACAAGCTATGGCCATAACTATAATTTAGTGGTGTAATTTACCGATAAACCCACCCGGTTAGAGGGCCCCAGTCATAATCGTTTACTTGTTATGTCATTTGGCGATGAAACCACTGGTTAGAGGACATGTGTCAAGTCCTTTTGATAAAAAAATGATTTGAGAATGAATCTTAGTGATATTCTCAATTAGATATTCGCTCTTTATGAAGTGATTTTCAAATTCATTTAATTCAACAAATTGTTGCGGAGGGCAGATGAATTTTGCATTAAGTGTTTAGGTGATTTATTTAATCTTAAATATCTTAATTTTTTATTATTTTTTAGTTTTGAACTCCTATTGAAATTGGAGCCCCGTAATGATTGATTTTAAAACTTGAGGGCATTTAAAAAGTATAATTTCCTCAAGTTGAGATTAACTTTCAACACGACCATCATCAGAGATTATTTATGGGTATTGTTATTTTATTAATTGGACCTTATTACCTTTGTTTGCTTGCAAACAGAGGATCAGATCCAACTCTTAATTTCTAGAGTTATCATGTAGATATTAGAACCCGAGATATTTATTTTAATATGTGAATTTTCTTTTTAAGAGACCAGTTGGCACTATGACTGTGAATTTGTTTGGTGGTTCAAGTCGTGTCAACTTCAATCCATTCAAAGAAAATGATTGAACTAGAACTTAAGTTTATTTTGTTTACCTGCGCCACGTCCTTAGATGTTACATATATACATACATCACGCTCATCGTGGCCCATGTGGGTATGTGCTTTTGAGTGAATTTTGCATAATGTATTTATATGGTGATTATATGTATGTAATTCAGTGGATGTGTATGACATATCTACATATTCGCACACACACTCACGTATTTATTTACATGTTGACAAACTTGCATATATATTTGTATGTTTGCAGGTATACATGTGTATTAACCTATGCATTTCTGCACCACTTAAAATGTTTGAATGACATTTTTGTATGTTGCGTGATGGCTTAATGGCTTAATGCATTAACATAACGTATAATGTATTTGCGTGTCGGCATAATGCGCTACTATGATATTGTGCATTTTTGCATGTTGGAGAGTGTATTTACATAATGCATTTTGCATGTTGTAGAGCACATATTCCTAGTGTGTTTGCAACTTTGCATGTTAGATATATGCCTAATATACCTATATGTAACTTGATGCATGATGCAATTTTGGATAACATGAACTCATGATGCATTTGTGTTGTACACTTGCAGGCTTTCCAAAGCATTTACATAATGCAAATATATGTTCTGAATGCATTAGTATGTACTTCAATGCACATTGCCATAATATTATGTGTTTCTCAAGATAATGATGCGCTTCTTGAGGCAGCGGTACATCTCTCGAGGTTGTCATACGCTCCTCGAGACTACAACATACTTCTCACCAACTATTGTATGTAGGTGAAATGTGCTTAGTGAAATATCCCTCAACATTGCTTATGGATGTGGTTGTTGTGTGCATTTCAAATTCATGTTCTCTATCATAAGCCTACCATAGGCAAATTGATGCGTGCATAACGAGTCTTCTACAGTTGCCCATAAGTGCTTATATTTAGTACAAATTTGTTGTCTATGCCTGGACAATGTGTCGTGTTCAATGTGATTTCCTCGCTCATGCTTATAGGGAATTCATTACATTTACAACATATCAATCGCTATTTAGGGGTGTCAATTTTTGACACGACCCGAGACCTGACCCGGTAAACCCGGTTCAATAAACTAACCGGTTTCAAAAAATCAAGTCGGGTTCGGGTTGACCCGAGAACGCAAAAATGACCCGGAAATGGTCCATGCCTGCGTTGACTGCCCTTCTACCCGCCTTGCCGACGCATCAAGTCGCATTGCGTTGCTTCGCTTTGTTGTTCGCAAATCGTGATGTATGCCCGCTCCGCTCCGCGTTGCTTCGGGTTTGGGCTTCGCCGGTTCGACATTCGTGACGCGTGCCCGCTGGCCGCTATCGCATGGTCCACCTGCCGCTGCTCGCCTGTGCGTCGCTTCGGGCTTCGTCAGTTCGGCATTCGCAACGCTACTACTGTGTTGTCACTGCTTCGAGCCTTCCCCGTTGTTGCCTCCGTAGCTACGCCGCCGTTGCCGGTAGTTCGTCGCCAGCCAAATCTCGTAAAACAGGGTGGGTCCTGTCAACCCAGCAACCAGCTCTGGTCGGGTCCGGGTTGAGATAGCCGACCCGTTTGCAAAAAACGAGTCGGGTCGGGTTGACCCGTTTAGAACTGGGTCAACTCGGATTCAACACGAACACAACCCGTCAACCCGAATTGACACCAATTGCTTGCAATCAAATTAATGTGTTAGTTCGCAAGTCAAACGATATTGATTTTTGGCAGGCTATCCTTATTATGATTCTTCTGTTTTTACTTGTAAGTATACCACTTCCATTACAAATCTCCCATTTTTGCTCTCAAGTGAGCTACCATCTTTGTTCCAAGCCTATTGTCTTTTGTCTTTACTAGAAAGTTGTAATATAATGAGTCAACCACTTTTACCCATAAGCAATATATTAGGTTCATTGTAGGTCTACTGTTACAACTTCATTATGAGGCCTTTTATTTAACATCCGTAGGTGAACCGCCACTTACATCATGTTGACCCCTAATCGGCTTCGACTACGCCACTCACACATGATCTCAAAACCATCCACTACCCCACCCACGCATGATCGCACAACTGCCCACTACCCTCTCTCCCATGACACATAACTCTGGCTCGGCCCACTCTCTCCTCATTCGAACTCAACTCTCATGCAACAGATGCTTTGATGCGGTTGATTGGAGCCACCAAAGAAAACTTGAGCTATAAGTTTGACAAAAGATGCAAGGATTATAAAAATATATATGGCAAGAAGTTATTGAAAATATTCAACCAGATGCACTTGAACAATTTCTTTATGAGGAGGGAAGGCTGAATTATGTCGTCGATTTTAATCCGACCAAGCGGATCTGAAAGGGCAAGTGCCCTCCCAACCACGCCTCGTGGGGAGGAGACACCAAAAGGCTACTAGGATTTCAGGAAATAATATATAGGATTTTAAATTAAATTAACATGTACCACGACTACACAATTGAAGCTCGAAGACTTATGTCGGGATCAATCAATGTCCCGAAGACCGAAGCTCTCGGCCGTCAAATCCCATTCGTGCGATTTTGATCACCTTCGATGATAGGGGCAAACATTACAACCTTTTCTATATGATTTCGACGTTTTGGACACAATAACACAACAGAGAAATTTATTTTCTGAACGAGCAATGTCCGGGTAACAGCGCACAACATTTCGTTCGTAGTCCGTTGATTTTACACCTTCGATGGCATGGGCAATATTACAGCCTTTTATATATGATTTGACATTTCGAACACAACGACGAAGTTCATTTTGCGAAAGGGCGATGTTGGATTAACGCCACATAACATTTTGTCCGTAGTCCATCGATTTGATCACCTTCGATGGCATGGTCAATATTACAACATTTTATATATGATTTCAACGACCCGAGCACAACAACAAAATCCGTTTTGCAAACACTAATGATGTTTGGGCAACATCGCTATGTTTCGTCTATAGTCTATTGATTTTGATCACCTTCACCCAATTCAACTACGAGGGGTCTCCTCTTAGATAAATATGATGCTCTAATCATATCGGCGCAATCTATTTGATGATCAGAGGTAATTTAGGTAGTGTTTGCTAGCAATGCACTTGCCAACAATCTTGTTTGATTAAGTTATGCACGAATGACTCTTCCTTAGCAAATTTGATGTCGTGAGCGCATCAATGCGATCTATTTCATGATCGGATAAAGTTTTGAGCCATTTTGATGGTGATTGAGGTGTCCTCATGCTCATGATAAGAGACCTATTTGACAGTCGCTTTCCTCGATGCATTCAATTAATCGTGGAAGATGCTTGGAGGTCAATATGATATTGTGATATGAGGTGATTTGTGATTTTTAATATGCTAATGATGGTAGTTTGAGATGCCCTTCATATTCATATCCCTGATATATTATAACTTATCATATCTTTTGTATGTGTGTATTCAATTTTTTATTCAATTAATATGTACATGTAACATATCTATGCTACTCCCTAGTTTATTATAGTATTTGAACATAGATTGTTGAAACAACATTATTTTGATGATTAAAAATGCTTAGAATATTTGACTAATATTTATGTTAGAAAATGTAAGTTAGATCCTCTCATTGAAAGCTCAAAGGAATAAAATCGTTAGGAAGACCTTCTCAGCAATGAACCCAAGCTTTTGCATAAGAAAAGGCTACAATTTCATAATGCCTAATCAAAGGATAATATTTGTAAGCACAATAATTTTTGATAACTCACATTTATGCTTAAAGTTTTAGTTTTTAATGGGGTGTTTACACACATAGCACATCACATGTAACATCTAAATCTTTATGTTTACTTATATAACATTGGGTGTTTAAATCATATCAAAACATGCACATAAAAAAGATTTATTTTACTTCAGATAAATTAATATTAGTGGTATTTTTGTAATTTAGAGATTAAATTCTTGTATAAGTAAATATAAAAATTTAAGTATTAGATTATAAATATATAAAAATTTCGGTGAAATGTATGTACATCCCCCATTTTATTAATATTCACATGAAAAATCATGCGAGTATTATGGACCATAAATTAACCTATTTAGCATAGTTAAAATAGGCCATGATGATAAAAAACTAGCTAAATGGCTTAAAGCATAAAGGGCAGCTAACTGACAAATGGACCCAGTTCAACAAACTTGGTCTATCCACGTAATATATATCATGGTTAGTTGGCCAAGTTTGATAAACTTGGTTGACTGGTTGAGTAAGGGCATCAAACCAAATCTTTAGCTGATTAAGTTTAGTGAATTTGCCTGCCAAGTTGGTTAAGAGTCATTCAACATTTCAACAAGTTCATGAGCATGGCTGAAGCAGGGATTCTTGTTTTAGGAGGGTTGTTCACGTAAGTTCATGCCCATTTGTACTCTTACGCCAATCTTTTTTTCCACAATACACTTTCCGTGCTTATTTGCTTAGAACACTTCAAAGCTATGTTAGCCATGTGACAAGTGTACTTGAATTGGACGAAGAGTTGCAACCTTCAATTATTAAAAACTTGATTAGAAATCATCCAGACACTTTCCATCCATTTTAGCAAGCATCCTAGGCTCTTCTTTGTGATAAACAGGTCCTACGAATCTATGATGAAGGTTGTTTGTTTCTTTACACAAATAATATCTAAGCTTTCATTTGATTTCTACCTTCCTTCTCTAAGTTCCATTGTAATCCAAGCTTTAACTTGCAAAACCTTTTGAACCTGGTGATGCTCTTGGCTACTCCTTGGAAGCTAAGTTTTCCTCATTTGAGATTTCATTCCTTATATGCATTTTTCATACTAAAAATTTTTCATTTGAATCAAAGCTAAATGATTTGGCAAGTTTAACGTGTATAAAATCTTCCAGCTACTAAAGCTAGTCTACTGAACACTTATTTTTTTAGTTCAATCCTTTGGAGTTGACCTTGCACCTGAGAAAACAGTAATGACTTACTCTTCAAGTAAAAAGAGGCGTATAGTGTTTGTCTTCATGGTAAGCAAAGACGGTTTGATGGAGTTTCCAATGGAAGAGTGGGCATAGGCATAATTGAGAAGTTAAACTACTATAATTGATTGTTTCTTTTCAATAATGCATATGGCATTACAACTCTGAACTCTCGTAGTTTCACATATGTCATAGTGTTCTTCACACTTTTCATATATGTGAATGGCATTTTGAGTTGATCTGTAGTGGTCTTCGCTATAAGTGAGATCAATTTTTAGATTTGAGTGAGCCTTTAGCACCAAATTCCCCACAACCTGCCTATCTTCCCACCTTGGACATGCACGAGGACCAACAAACTGGAAATAACAAGTATCCAAAGCAGGAAAGCAAATAAAAATCAAGCGAACCTGATTTCGTGTCATTTCATGAACGTCAAACAGAGTTTTAAGAATTTGAATTCCAAGTTCTTCACAGCTCATCAGTCCGTTAGAAATGCCACTTCCTTCACAACTTTTCCCATCCACTGAATCCAACATAATAAACCCAAATTGTAAAATACTAGGAACCAAATGCTCTCGCCCAGAGCTGCTCTCATTAATCTACATCATTTGGTAATCACATCAGACAATACAATTCAACAGGCTTAAATGCCCAAACACATGAAGGGAAAAAAATGATCTTTAAAAGAAGCTTACAGTTCTAACTAATGCCTTTTCAACGTTCTTAGCATTTTGCAGCAATTCCTCCTTTGTAATATCTGGTAACCACTTGCAATCCCTTCATGTTAAAAGATTTCAAATTTCTAGCAAAAGGATCTGCACAAGATATCCTCATTCAAATTTGAACAAGAATATGTTAAGGAATAAGCATAATGACTAGTTTAATAGGTTTTTTATGTTATTATATGCCTTGGTAATTCATAGGTCATGTGTGCTCATTAGGCCGTAAGTAATGTCTTGTATTCTATAAATACTCCGTATTAGAAAGAATTAAGGTAGAAAAAATGAAGAAGAACCCGAGTTAAAGTACACCTCGCTCTCCCTCCCTCTAGTACTATCTATAGTTGCGGGCATCATCTAATTGTTCTTCACTTTTCTCAACCTATTCTTGCGGAGTTTTTAGCAAGCTCAAAGTTGTCTACTCATCCCTTTATATTGTTTATTTCTCTGTTTGTCTGCATTTAATACTTGGATTAATAACAAATGGTACTTTTGTTGAGATTTACTGACTCAAGGTGTCCATCACCATTCCAAATCCCCATATCCACATAATCACCAGGCCCAAAGCCTTCCCTCATCTAAAGCAACCAGCACCTGCAATCAATTATCCAATATTAGATATTCCAATCCGCGGATTTCCTCGTGGACTTCTCCTATGGATGGGCCTTCATCTTTCATCATACCACATTGATTTTTTCCCAAGCTCTTCCATATCCCATTCACCATATTCCCATCATCCAAATATGGGCTCCACCAAATCCCAAAAATCACCACAAATAATAATTAAAAAAATCCTATTTATAATGAACACAAACAGAATGGAAAAATATAGAAACAAATAAAATGTAGGAATAGCTAGGCAAATTGCTTGTCTAAAACTCCAAGATAAAAATAAATAAATAAATAAATAAAACACTTGAGAAAATGGGAGGACAATTAGAACATATCTAAAAGCTCCATATAACATTGCAGAAAGAGAGTTAAGATTTAGCTCAGCTTCTTCTTCATTTTACTTGCCCTAATTCTCCACAAGGAGTGGTTATAAAATACAAGGCATCCACTCACATCCTAACAAGCAAACATAATATATAAACTAACAAGACACACAAATACCCACTAAACTACTCATTACACTTATCCCTAACATAATATACCTATTACTTGCAACATAACTACTTCCAACCAGTAATCAATATATATATATATATTTTAATTTATTTATTTATTTATTTTTATTTTATTTTTTTTTTTGTTTGGTTGGAACATAGACGTCTGATTGTGGTCAGGATTAAGCATGTATTTAAGTTGACTCATAATATTCTTAACAAATTTGTTTTCCTCAAAATTTAGAATAAATCAAAAAATTTTACGAATTTTGTATGAACCCCCATGTGGCTCCTTTTTTTACTATATGCACAAATTACTTAAGTTTGTATTCAAGTAGTCCTAATTCTTTAATCCTTGCAAACAAGGGCACTTACAATTCATATGGGCTACCCATGTGGAAGACAAACGAAGTGAACATCTAAGTTTCCAGCAAGTGGATCAGCCTTTGTTGGTGGAAGGGGATGACCCACCTTGCCCTAGCTACACAAAGATTTTATGTTTTTGATCTGTGGTTCCAGTTCATTAGCTGGGCGTTTTAACTAACCTATCAATGGTGCTATCTAATTGACAAATGTTTTCAAGCGGTCATGTTTGGGTTAGGTACAACTCAAGCATGCAAGCCTGAGTCAAATAAAACATAACTACATGCTTGGGTTGCATACAGCTAGGCATATATGCTTGATCAGCACCCTGCCAAAGTTTACGTCTGGTTGCAATCTAGGAACACAAAACTAGGTTGAATATAACCTATACTGCATGCCAAAGTCGCACTCAGCCTAACAATCCTTCATGGGTCCCTACCTAAGTATGATTTCTTGGGCTGGATGCACCCCAAGCCACGCTCTACCAATGCTACCCAAACAACCATTGGTTGTGTTATGCTAAAGAAAACCCTGAGCAAAGGATTGGAAGTCTGGTTATAAGCTAGTTGATCGACAGGCTATAAGTTTGTCATGAAACCTATATTTAGGTTGCTTTTGAAAAGTTAGGAAGGAGGAATGTCTGAACAGCCCAAAGGTTACTTAACAAGCAAAAATTTTGTTTGTTTATTTGATCCGGAATTTGAAAAAAAAAAAGGAAAAACTAAGAAATAATCAGTAGTTTAGCTAAAATTATGATAAATGTTGCTTGTTTGTAAAAATTAGAATACTAGGACCCGTTGAATACAAACTTATGAAACTCACATAAAGGAAAAAACTACGGGGATGTTTAAGCACTGATTTTAGCTCGGCAATCTTCAGAAAAAAAAAAAAATCAACAATACGGGCAGAAGATTTTCACCTTGCAATTTTGCAATCCAGATGAGAACCAATAACGACCGATTTTAGAGCACCAATCGATATCTCATTGAACCGCCGAATACTGGCCACGGATAACAAAACCGCAGCAGCGAAATGGTTGAACGTACCAAAATCAGAGCGAACAACGGCGATAACCTCTGAACCCAGCGATGGATCCTGCTTAACGGCGAAGTTCACGTGCATCAGAATCGTCCCCTCCACTTGCCGCACGACGGAAGGCGATCCCTTCATCGGCTTCTCGAAAAACTTTAACAAATCGGCGATCAGTTGCTTTCGGGAAACCGAACTAATTCCCTTAGACGCGAGCAACAATAGCTGGAACACCAGCCACGGGAGGTCCTGGATGTCCACATCCCTCATTCCGTCGAATATCTTCCGAAGAAATTCCGAAACCCTAACCCTAGATATAGCCGGGCAGTCGCGGATGAGCGAGCACATCTTGACAAGCAGTGCCTTGGACCAACTGACGGATAGGAGTTTATCGAGGAATGCGTTGATGAGCTCGCCATCGGGGGCGGCGAGGTTGAGAAGGTGAGGGAGAAGATCGAGGACTTGGGCGTCGTCAGCGTCGGCGATGTCGGAGAGATGGGAAAAGATGAAATCCAGTAAGGAGTGGAGATGGAAGTGGTCAAGGTGGGATAGGAGGGGAAAGATGAGGTAGAAGAGACGGGAAGAGTCGAGGTTTCTGGGTAGTGTGCGGGAGAAGAAGAGACGAAGGAAGGAGAGGAGTACGGGAGTGAGAAGGGAGGAGGAAGGAGGGGAGCGAGAAAGAATTGATAGAAGGGAGGAGAGGAGTGAAGGTGAAGGTGACTGGAGTAGAGGGAGGACAGTGGAGGAGGATAAGGATGGGGGGAGAGTAGCGGAGGAGTTTTGAGCGAGGAGGATGATGTCGTCGGCGGTGAAAGACGGCGGCGGTGACAATTCGCGACGGCTTTGGCTTCGGGCGCCGGTAGTGGCGGTTGCTGCCATGGCTTATCGAGGTGCTAATGGTCTTACTTTGAGATTTTGTGCTGCGTTCGGGTTTAAAATAGGCAAAATAGCGCGCATTCCCTACCGCGCGGGAAGAGTGTCGCTTTGCCCGGATTCAATATTTAGAAAATTTATAGAGCGCCGAAAGGGGTGCAAATTAGTCAAGCTCAACTTCTTAACCAACTCATGAGTTAAATTTATTAAGTTTTGAGTTGGAGCTCAAATATATATTTGAGATCATTAACTTATCGAGCTCTATTTTGAACAAGAGTTAGCCCAGCTTGAGTGCTCGTTGAGTGGCTCAAAATTATGCCAAACAAGAACGATGGAAAGCGAATAGGGAGTGTGGAGTGGTCCGAGAGGACCATATGGCTTTCGAACGGAGCCAAAGTAAACCTCATATTAGTTGTTGTTCTTTTCCGTGCGATGCAATTTGCAGGCCTATGCCTATCTAGGCTTTTTTTTCTTCGGTTGCTTGCTTGCTTCAATGGGTCGTGCATGAGACACAAAGCGATGATGACAATTTTTTGGTGATTGAAATCCAAGTATCTCATCTCTCTTGTATTTCTAAAACTTCACTCATTTTCCAAAAAACTCTAACCATTTATTTTCCTAAAATTTTAGCAACAATACGAGCCAAATTTGTTGATGAGTCAGGATTGACATCTCGTCCAGCATGGGTTCTTTAGGTTGCTCTTCTTTTTCTTCGAAAGTCCAAATCAACATTTATGAGATATTAAAATCTTTCTTACACAGTTTTCAACAAAGTATTTTGAGTTTATATTCCTATTATAGGCTCCAGTGTGTCTTTACAAAAAGCACTGAATTGTCACCATTGATGGATTTATGAAAAAAATTTACATGTCACCATTCTTCATTTGTACGTTCTAGTTTCACTTATAAAAGAGGCCTAGTATTGTTATGTATAAGCAAAATATTCTCCCTTTATAAGCTCTAATATTTTCTCTATGAGCAGTATAAAACTCTCATTCATAAGCGAAATTATGAAAAAATATCCTCATCTCTTAATATCTCCTTTATTATTATTATTTATTCCATCTCTTAAAAGAGATTAAATGCTACCCTGTGTAAGTGGATTATATTCCCCTTCTAGGTTGCCTCTTTACTTAGAGTAATGAATTACCCTTTATAAGTGTGATTATGGATCCAATCTATATCTCTCAAGCCCGCTTTTGTTGGTATGAGTTCCATCCCCTAAAAGAAGCATTCTCCCTTTATAGGTCATGGTACTATGAAGAGTACCAAATCATCCTACATAGATAAAGTTATATGTTTTTAAGGCTTTTAGTCGTTCTATGTTTTTGAAGAACTAAAAAATATATATACTTCTAAGGCTTGTACTCTTCTAAGCTTTTTGGATAATAAAAAAAAATCTTTTGAGGCTTTTAATCTTTCAAAATTTTTAGAGAAATATGCACCTTTTGAGGCTATTATCCTTTTTTAAAATATTTGAAAATTTGAAGAAATCTATAAATTTTGATGCTTTAAGCTTAGCTTTTTTGAGAAGGAAAACAAAATCATATACTATCTTAGTTTTTTTGGAGAATTGAAGAATGATATACCTTCAAAGGTTTTTAACTTTTTTATAATTTTATAGGCACTGAATTTTTTATGCTTTAGTTTTATAAGATTTTTGGAGAAACAAATAAATATATATTTTCGGAGGCTTTTAGTCTTTATTCTTTTAATATTTTTGTGTTTTTAGGTGAACTTGAAAAATATATATATACCTTCCAAAATTTTTAGTCTTATGAGATTTTTGGATAAGTGGAGAGTATCAACTACTCGCTCTTATGGAGTCTTTATAGTAACAACCATATCATTTATCAGCTTCTCATATATTTGCCAAATTGTTAGTGTTAGAATATTCACACTGATAGAGTGAGAGTTTTAGTCTTAATTTTGCCTAAAGATTCAACACTCACTCAAATAAAAAATAAGAATACAAAAGACACTAGAGTTTTTAAGTGAAAAGCTCAGTAAAAAATTTTTATGGGGCTTGGCCTAATTGAAATAATTCACTATATACTTAAAATTAAAGAAATTTGCTATTTTTCGCAATTAGAGAATAAAGTGAATGGTCGAACTTTCTTGGTCACCTGTGGCTGTAACTGAGAGGAGAAATGGTGGAAGACTAATTATGGCCGAGTAAAAGTGCTACGAAAATAATAATGGTTAGGTGGTATTAGTTAATGATGATGATGATCATACGATGATAATTAAAAGATGATTGGATGAAGGTGGTCAAATGATGAAGAATTGGCTATGATAACTAGGAATTGGTGATCAAATAATAATGGTTGGGTGATGATGATTGAATGATGATAGTTGGACAACATGGTGGCTGGCAATGATTGTTGGCATCGAATGTTGGTTAGAGCTCTAAATTCCTTCGGATCTTTATACTCTTCTCTAATCTCAACTCTACGTCTCCCTCAAGTGGAGAATGAGGCTTTATTTATAGATTTTTTTAGAGTGACAATTTGATAGATTTGGCCAAAATTCTATATCCCTCTATGAAATGATTTATATCTAATTATTTGATCATATGTCATTTATTCAACATTGAAGTGCCTTAATAACCTTTGAATTGAATGTTCATAGCCTAGTTGGCTTTGTTTCATCTAGCCGCTTGATTGAATATAAAGACGCAAGATTTGGAGACAATTTGGACATTCAATAAATGTACAAGAGTTTTTAACCACTTTACTTGTTTGATTTGGGCTCCTTTAGGATGATTGGATTTATCTTGTCAAGATATTCAATTTGACTAATCATTTTGTTAAAATTGCAATTCAAATGGTGCTGGATTTAAATCTGGCATATCAAATTTTTTCTCAATTCCTTTTTGATTTTTTTAAACATATCAACTTTTTAAAAATTACACCTTAAAATTATAATTTTAATTCCTTATTTACAAAACTTATACATCCTACCAACAGCCAAACCCCAATACCTCAAATTATCATCCATTTTTTATTTCTCAAGATAAGTCATCCATTAATAAAACAAATAATTAATGAAGGAGCTTTAAACTATAAAAAATTAGTTCAATTAGGCTCTCAACGATCTTCAAATAATTTTTTTATTAAAAAAAAATCTCCTTAATCCACAAAAATTTATCTCCTCGACCAATGCCTGCATTATTAATGACCTCCGAAGCACATGTAAAAAGACCCACTTAAGCTTTTAAATGGAGTTAGGGCAACCGCCACTGGATAGAGATGTGCATCTCTTTGGAAACATCGCCGTAAGCCCGTAAAGCAGTCCGGATATTCTTCTTTATCAGCGAAGCTCGCGAGGTAGTATTTGCTTTATAGTTTATACACAACTCTCCTTGGCCTATTGATTGAGAGCTTAAGAATCCGAGCATTGAAGCAAGCTTTTTGTCGCACAGACTTCTAACTAAGAGGTCCAGGATTTGAGTCTATGTGTATGCGTTGTGTGTGTGAGTTTGCTTTAAATGGTCTAAATGTCCCAAAAAAAAAGCTTTATATAGCATTCAGCAGAAAGTATCTATAAACGGAAAAAGAAAAAAAAAATTTGACCTCTACAATTTTTTTTTCTTATATTTTTAAGAAATCAATAAAAGTCATTCGATTCAGTCATTTAGATATTTTTAACAAAATATTAAATTATAAATAGACTTGTTGCATGCAAGAATATTTGCAATAGTGGCGTGAGTAAACTTCTCACCTTAGCGATGTACGAATGACGAATATCCAACACACAAACATAGAGAGAGAAGTAATTTGGAGAGTTAGACAAAAGTTTGGCGACAGTCGTGCAAAAGTTTGACAACATCAGGGTAAAAGTTCAGCTGACGAGGAATGATCCGACGGGCGGAGGTCCAGCGATGTTCGACGGCCGGGTGGAAGTCTGGAGGCAATCGTCGACAAAGTGGAAGTCCAGCGGTGGCTGGGCGGAAGATCGACGGCGATCGACGACCGAGCGGTGGTCCGACGGCAGTCGACGGGGGTTCGTCGGCGATGGTGCTGGAGCTCTTTAAGCCTTAGAGCTCTCTTCAATCTCTAGCCAAATGTCTCATTCATGCAGAGAGTGGAGATATAATCATAGATTTTCATGAGTGGCACATCCCGTAAATATAGAGAAGATCTGTGGCAGGTTTGAAGTGCTTCATCAGATGGCTCATATTGATTTCCCTGATCACAGAGAATTTTTCAAATGTTTAAGTTCCTTAACGATGTCAAAATTCAGCAATCTTAGGATCGTTTAATTTGTCTCGTCGAGCAACTCAATTTGACTATAATCATGCTATATTTGGATATCATTTTGTCATCCAAATAATGCTTTGAACCTTCCAAATATGATTCGGGCCCCTGATTTGGACTCATTTAGGCTCAGATTGGACCAATTTTTGTGATGTTGGGTTCGTCTTTTTGAGACGTTCAGTTTGACTATAAGTTTACCAAAATTGCAATTTACAGGGTCCCAAATTTAATTTTGAAATGTTCAACTTGAATATGCCTCAAGATTCGTGCATGATCAAGACGATTTTTGATGATGTATCAATACTCATATCATGCTCATGAAAAAGAGCATAGAGCTTGAAGCTAGGCCTGGACTTGCAGTTGAATATAATTCTGCCTGACAATGGATGCCAATGACTCCCGCCACTGATGACCATCATAAATTCATCGCCCAACCATCTACAAACTATTATGCTTTCATGGCCCAACTCCCCATCTCCTACACAACATAGTCTAACCTTCATTGCTCAAACGTTGTCTCTTGATCACCATCATCACTTTTTACTACAACTCTAGATTTCTCATACTTTGTGATTTATTTTTATTTTTGGATTTTTCACATAAATGATGTCTTCTTTAAAACTATTTCTTTTTACCTATTTGTGTGTGTGTTGTGTCTTTATATAAATATAAGATGTTAGTATGCCTTTATTGTCACAAATATCATAGCATGCAATAGAACTTAGAGAACTTAATATCTTATGATAAAGAATGATGATTTATAATTTATTTTATATGAATAAGAAAATATTTTATTGATATTGTTGGCGATAAAAGACAGCAAAGATGGCATGTATTGATGAAGTCAAGGGTTGTTAATTCATATATCGTTGTCAAGTGATGGTGGTCAAGATATTATAGCTGGACTATAGTGATCACAAGACCATAACCAGGCCATGTTGGTCAAGAGATTGTAGCCTAGAGAGATGAGGATCACTATAGTTAGGTAATAATGATTGAATGATGGTGTTTAGGAGACAATAATGGGATAATAGTGGTTAGGAGGTCATAGTTGGGTGATAGTAATTGGAAGATGGTAGTCGGGAGATCACGATTAAGTGGTGGTTGTCATGAGTTTATTGGTGGGCAATGATGAGTAAGAGATGACATACGGGCTATGATGATCATGCGATGGTGGCCAAACATTTATTATTGTTGGCAGTTATTGTCGTTATCAAATGTTAGATAGAGTTCTAGGGTCACACCAAATTTAGCTCTAGCTCTCATCTCCTCCCTTAATGTGAAAAATGCGTGCCTATTTATAAATGTTTAAGAGTGATATTTCAAATTTTCATAACACTCAATCGAATGTCACACAATAAATCATTTGATCATAAAACATTTATTCATAATTTAAGTGCCTTATGATCTCATAATGGAATAATATGGGGCTCATTGAATTCCTTTGTTGAAACACTCATTTTCACTATAAGAATACAAGTTTTGGAGATCATTTGATGTTTTATGAAAATTTCAACTAGAATTTATGTGCTTGACTTCGACTCATTTGATGTTTTTATGCTTTCTTGGTCATATATGAAAGACTTCATATTATGTCACATCCACGTCGAAGTTATGAATATTCCCTTTTGCATTGGAGTGGATCCTTTGCTCGGTCGTGTTATTTCTGCTCCAAATTGGACGGTCTGAGTTTGGCTTTTGGTAGTTGGTAGTCTCACCCTTTTACTGAGCCATCGGGATCAGATTTCCCATGTATTTGTTTTTTCTTTGTTCCTTGGGTTTTTTTATTTGCTCTTGTAACTTTTGTTTGGCATTAATATATGGTTTGTTAAAAAAAAAGAAAAAAAAAGAGAGAGGACGAAGCCGATTTGAATGTGACGGGTTGGAGATTTCTGCAAAAGAGATTTATGGAACAATTGGGACATGTAGTGCTGACTAACATTCTGAAGGGTAGATCTGCTGAAATTGGACGCCGTGAAAATGGGTTGTTTGAGGTGATTGTGGACAACCTAACCACTAATATAGAACATTGTATTCTTAACCATAAACGTCATCTTGCGGTTGATGCTTTTCTCGTTGAGACATATGAGAATCTGACTGTTATGACAGATAAAAATAAGAATGAGTTTCTCAATGCATCAGACTGACAATGCATCCAGCATTGGTTTCAGCACAAATTCAATTGTTGCCCAACTCAATCCAAACTTCAAGCTCACATGCACATCGTGATCAAGAATCGTTACATGCATTCCCTGTTCTTTTTAGAACTTTCTTGAGTGTGTTAGTTAACTAAATTCTGAATTTGGTTTGAATATGTTTTAATTTGTTTCTGTTACCGTCGAAGTTTTTAAGTTTTATGGATATGTACGTTCATATCTGTTTGAATGTGATTTTCAATACAATGTTATTATTGTTGTTGGAATGTTGCTTCTTCTTAAAATTGCTTCTTTTTCTTATATTTAAGTTTTTGGTACTTTTTCAAATCTAAGGAAATAATATTAAGAAAAAAAAAACTTAGATAAATGATAAAATTATTTTGAACAAAAATCAAATGTTGAAAAATAAAGTAAATCAAAATATAATAATAATTATAATAAATCAATAAATAATTTGTAATCAATTATCTCTCAATAAATCAATACTTATATTCAATTTAATATATACACTTTTTAATTGTTTAATTTTCATTTTAAAAAAAATTCAAATACGTAAATTTGTATTATTTCAAAAATATAATTCAAAATAAATAAGTTATTTCAAATTTTATGTCAAGATTTAAAAAATTTAAATTTATTTTTTACATCTAATTAGATTTCAAATTTTATGAATTAAAAAAAAAAATTTAAGCAAGTTGCCCGGCGACTTGATCATGTATGGCTAATCGCCCATTAAACGAGCAATTATGTCTTCTTTTTATTTTTTTCCACATGTTTAATCAGCTAATTACAATGCTAACGATACTTAGTGTAAAAATTTGTCCCATGTCGGGTAAGTGGAATAGGTTGATATTGCTACAGTAATGACTATAAATTGAAAAATAAAAACAATCACTAACTTTAGGGAATTTTTTCAAATCAAAATTAACTCCATAATTTTTTCTTCTTGTAAATTAACATATACTTCTATGTATCAATTTGATCCATTTAAAAGTAGAACACAATGACATTCTTTTGGATGACTTTTGTAAAAGTTGGTATTTTGAGATTTAGGTTTCGTTTGGGACGGCTTCCTTCCTGCTTCTTAAAACGGCTTTCTAGTTAAAAAGTTAAAATTTTTGTACTAGAAAGCCGCTTTAAGAAGCAGTAAGAAAGCCGTCCCAAACGAAGCCTTAAATTAATTAAAAAAAATTACATTCTACCTTTGAACATTTGGCTATTATAATTAGCCATTGCCTTTCACCCTATACCAGCTTAATTAGTAATATTTCATATTAGTTTTCCATACTTTAATTACAATCTTGCCATCTCCAAGTTAAGGAGGCACCATAGTGGAATCATTTTAGTTGTATCAGGCCTTTTTATTTTTTCTCTTTCATCGTTTATTTTTTCTTTTTTCTTTTTAATTTATCTATTTGATTATTGGATATTCATATAAAGTTAGAAATCAGAACTCTCTTAACATGATTTCGTGAGTTCTGTAACTTGCAAAAATAGAAAATGTTAAGATTTTATTTGGAACAATTTTTTATTGCTTTCTAAAGCAGTTTTTTAGCAACAAAAATTTTAAGTTCAATAAATTTTTGTTAAAAATCTGTGCTAGAAAGCTTATTTAGAAAGTATTAAGAAAGCCGCCTCAAAAGAAGTCTAAATTAAGTTGTCATTTGAAGAATTATTAGTGTAAACTAGCCACAAAGTAATGAATGAAGCATTTTGTAAGTTTGGCTATTTAATTTTTTTTCAATGTTTATACTTACTTCATGTCAGTTAATGGTTGATATATTTTCTCTTTGTATTCTCTATATTATTACTAATGTATGACACATATGAACAAACACAAGAAAAATAATTTTTATCATTATAAATAAAGTAATATAAGAAAGATTCATACCCTTATGAGCTCACTTATCATTATTTGTGACCATCATACATAATTCATTAATTTTGACATTATTTTAGCCAAATAATAAATACTTATTATGTAATAATATATTGTTTTGTTTGAGACAATTTTCTTACTGTTTTCTAAATAACTTTTTTGTACAAAATTTTTTAGTTTGAAAAAAATTTATATTAAAAAATTATTTAGAAAACAATAAGAAATTCAAACAAAGTCTATATCATAACGAGCTTTTAAAAGCCAAACACAAATAAAGGAAACTTTGTTTTGTGTTTGATTCATTAAAGAAACCATACTAACCTTAGCTGATTGATTCATTAATAATTTTTTTTGTAATATCTTATAATTTTTCTTAATTAGAGGAAGTTATATTTTTAGAAAAATAAAAAGGATAAAATATACAAATATTTATATGACTTAATAAATCTCTTATTATTAACATAATTTAAATATAAGAAAGATAAATAAAATAAAAAGTTATCTAGAACCTAAAATAAAAATTAACTGAAAATTAAATAATTTAATTTATTTGCATTTTAAAATAAAAATAGAATTATATATTACAATTAAACCTAAAATAAATGAATTTTCTTTTTATTAATTGAAGGATAATTTTTTTACGAAAGAGTATCAAATCTATAGTTAGGCTTTGACCAGTATTACTTCCTCACCGCATCGCCTTCAACGTCGTTTTCTGCAGTCGAATCTACCCCGCCGTGTTATTTTTCCTTCCCTAAGCTCTTGCGGCGACGACGTCACCACCGCCTCCCTTTACGAGCACGGAACTGCTTCGCCTCAACTCCATATCATCAAGTTTTTCATCATCAGCTCAGTGCGGTACGGCGATAAAGGGAGAGATGGGAAAAGGGAGAACACAGATGGAGGTTGGGGCGGATGGAGTAGCTCTGATAACGATCGAAAACCCTCCGGTCAATGCCCTCTCACCTGACGGTATTCTTTTAATTTCATCCTTTTTAGATGGACTGCATTTTGGATCATGGTTGTTCTAGTACTTTCTTAGGCTTCGTTTGGGACGGCTTTTTTATTGCTTTCTTAAACGGAAAATTTTGTACTAAAACTCCGTTTCAGAAAGCAATAAAAAAGCCCTCACAAACGAAGCCTTAGAGTAGGCGTTGTTTAGTGTTTTGATTTATTGTTTCTTCGTCAAGTTATTTTTACGTTACAGTCCATGTTTGTGCTTTCTAATTGTTTATTGTAGATGCTAGAAATCGTTTTTCTGTAGGTGGGGTTCTTTTGATTAAGCTTTTATTGATATGTATTTGTTTTCTGGTTTTGTTTTGTAATGTCTAGTATTGCAGCCTCTGATCTATTGTTGCGCTGAAGCTATTTAATTATTATTATTTTTTTTGCGTATTGCTTTTGATTTGTGCAATTATATTTAGCAATGCTCTTTATGTAGTCTTTAGCAAGGTTTAAAATTACACAATTGGGTATTAAGATATTTTCTGTCATTGTGGTGGGGCGTAACCCTCAAGACATTTTTAGGCATAAGATTCGAACTTAAAAAATTAGCTAAAGTTAAAATGAAGATTAAAAATGATTTTTTTTTTGTATAATTATTAGACAATATATTAAAGGATGATACGAGAAATAAATTGACATATATATGAAACACAAAAATGTAGAAGGCATACAGAGACAAATAATAATTTGTGTGAAATAAAATTGAAGTCCAAACTTTGCAACAATAAAACAACACAAATTATAGTAGTTACATAATCATATAAAATATAGTTCACACAACATTCTTTCCCAATTTCCTACTCATCGACATTTAATTCAAAAAAGAAACAATAATGATATAGCTACAACTTAGAAGTCATCGACGCTGTCATCACTGAAGGGGTCTTCATTTGAATCATTACCTTAATGAATTGCTCTCTCCCCTGCCTCATCACTTGTGGATTTCAATGCCTCCCAATATACTTCTTCTTCCTCTATTTCAGTTATATTTGCTTTCTAATTGTTTATTGTAGATGCTAGAAATCGTTTTTCTGTAGGCGGGGTTCTTTTGATTAAGCTTTTATTGATATGTATTTGTTTTCTGGTTTTGTTTTGTAATGTCTAGTATTGCGGCCTCTGATCTATTGTTGCGCTGAAGCTATTTAATTTAATTTTTTTTTTTTTGCGTATTGCTTTTGATTTGTGTAATTATATTTATCAATGCTCTTTATGTAGTCTTTAGCAAGGTTTAAAATTACACAATTGGGTATTAAGACATTTTCTGTCATTGCGGTGGGGCGTAACCCTCAAGACATTTTTAGGCATAAGATTCAAACTTAAAAAATTAGCTAAAGTTAAAATGAAGATTAAAAATATTTTTTTTTTTGTATAATTATTAGACAATATATTAAAGGATGATATGAGAAATAAATTGACATATATATGAAAATAAAAAATGTAGAAGGCATACAAAGACAAATAATAATTTGTGTGAAATAAAATTGAAGTCCAAACTTTGCAACAATAAAACAACACAAATTATAGTAATTACATAATCATATTAAATATAGTTCAACTCAACATTCTTTCCCAATTTCCTACTCATCGACATTTAATTCAAAAAAGAAACAATAATGATATAGCTACAACTTAGAAGTCATCGACGCTGTCATCACTGAAGCGGTCTTCATTTGAATCATTGTCTTAATGAATTGCTCTCTCCCCTGCCTCATCACTTGTGGATTGCAATGCCTCCCAATATGCTTCTTCTTCCTCTATTTCAGTTATATTTTTCTTCCTTTAATATTTTTCATCAACATAAATATGAATAAAACTCCAAAGTAAATGAGCTTACACAATAAATTTTTATATACATTTTCTGTTTTGTTCTTTTTGTGGTTGGATTGTGATGGATGAGATGCTCTGTTTCCATCACTATCAAAGAAATCAACGTTCAAATTTTCTCTCGTAATTTAGATTGTGATATATTCATTTCATCATCTATAAATCACTCATCATTTGATTTCATGCCCTTACAAATCATAAGGTCTTCATCATGCTTCAAACCTTTCTTCTTCAAGTTCCCATCTTTAAGCCTCTTATTGTATACAATGTACACTAAATAATTCATCCTTAAGGTTGTTAGATGATTTTTTTCTCCATTTATTCACTTTATTGTATGTGCTCCAGTTGCGTTCACATCTCGATGAAGAGAACATTTATCCCAAAATTTTCACAGTAAAATGTTACAGTTATGGAGTGCCATCGTCAAATTGAATACACAACTCAACTGAGATTTAAATAAATTATTATAATAAGTAGAATGAATTTCAAATAAACGAGTATATAATGCATTAAAATAACAAAGGAACTTACCTGGTGATCACTTGGAAATTATATCCTTCCCTTGTTGCAATATAGAAAAACCCTCTTTATTCTTGAAAGATATTAATTGCATGTCAGCATTTGCTCTTTCAATTGAATCATCTATAAGTCTATTCATGTAATGATATAGTCCTAATTTTATCACAAGATTTGTTGACCTATTTTCTGTATATTGATTATGAGGGTTTATATAATAACTAACTGCATGTAAGTGCCGATGAAGCTGTAGCTTCCATTTTTCATCAATGATATTCAAAATTTCTATATACCTTCATTCTTCTCATTCTAAATTGTGGGCAATAATTTCTTTTATTTCATCCATAACATTATATATGAAACTCATAACAGGCTTTTTCTCGGCTCCGCCATTCTCTAAACTTGCACCAGTGTCCTGTGATATCATGCATACACTCTGCCAAAATCTGTTATTTAAACAATCCTTCTAATCTGTTTCTTCTCAGATTTTCTTGTCCAATTATAACTCAACCACTGTGTAGAGGTGAACATAGACTACAAAGGCTATCTTGTCTTTAGAATGCTATGTAAAGTCAAATAGGTGGTGACAAATTTGATTGCTGCATTTCTAAGTATTTCTTTATCGGAAAGTTTTCTTATAAGTATCAAAACCCAGTAATGATTATAAATAAATTTATTTATTTTTTGTTTTGTCAGTGCATTCTTGTATTGCGGCAGCTCCCTAAGTTCTCAAGGATGAGATCTACAGTCTACACAATGTGCATCATATGGAGTCTAATATAAATATTTCCTTTTTTCCATAAGTTTTGTCCTTACAGCTCTATAAGCACTAGCATGATCTGTTACCAATTATACTATCGAGTGTTCTCCCTCCTCAACAATACTATCAATATATCAAAAAAGAAATTATGCATCTATCACCTGAACAGATGCCTCAATGGACTTCAAGAACTAGTTCCATAAGGGTTATTGATCAATGTGTTTAGCAAACTTCTATTTTTTACATCTGACCATCCATTATACATGATTGTAATCCTTGTCTAGGCTCAAATCCTCATACTTTCTTGATACTTCTCTTGGTATTTGTCTCTTTCAAAATCCATGTTCTCAAGTCATATATCGATAGAGGTTTCATTCTTCTCCCATATGCTTTAATTAAACCGATCATATTATAGTAAGAATGGGAGGTTATAATGTTAAATAGGATGTCGTTAAAAAATCTGCTTATATCCATGCATAGTTATATGTGCCTCCCTGACATTCTTTGGGGTTAGCTTCTGTGCAGTAGGCTTGTCTTATTGTCTATCCTCTAATGTGTTTGTCATATACTAATCCATAGGACCCTTGCACCCTTAAAGGACATGGATTGCAATGAAGAAGATTAATCCCGACTGCTGCACTTGCTTCTATAGTAGGAGCCCACATCAACTCTGTTATCAAATTATTTCATCAAACTATCTGTGTGCTAGGTGCTTTGACTTTACCGATTTATTTATATATGTTTTGATCTCCTCCCTGCGGTATCAAACACTTTGACACGTGGTGTAATATTTTTGTGTGATCCAGATAGGTGCTCATTCATCTTAGTGACACCACCTTTCACAACTTTCTCATAGTAATTATATTTAAAAATATATATACATCTTATCGTTGCCTTCCACCTTAACTTGACTGTTAGGTTTTCAAGCTAGGTCCTTCATATGACTAATCATAGTTTTATCTTTACTTTTGACCATTCTCTACAACATCCTACAATAACAAGTTCAGAACAAAAAAAAAAAAAAAAGAAACTCATAAAAAATTTATGCATGCATGCTTTGGGGATCATTACAAGATCAATGAATTTGATTCTAATAATGCAAGGTTATTCTTAGCACATCTTCTATTTAAAATCGATCATATAACTTGCGTTCTGCAAAGTATGTGGATTAAAAATCTAAGTCATAAAATGATCTAATGATATATGCAATATCCATAGGCAAAACATCACAAAATTTTTATTTTTGAAGTGACAATGCTGCATAATATTTAAAGAATCAATATATTTTCGAAATCACTTATCTCTTTATCAAATACATGGATATTATTCCCCCATTAATTTCATTATCCTATTTCTTTTTATAAATAGACATTCATTTTTAAAAGTGATCCATTTAATTACATATAAAACAAATTTAGCAAATATGGTATATAAAAAATGTTTGTTTTTCGAGACTGTGAATTGAGCTTAAATTTTCCCGGAACATATTCAGGAATCAGGTTCACTCTATTTGCCTTTTTCATTATGTTAATATCTTTTTATTGGTGTTAACAAGAACTATTCGAATGTTCCACCCACTTCCAAAGAATATAAATGGTTTAAAACCTTCATTGATTACTCCTAAAATCACCAGTTTAATTCCAACATAGGTACATAGTTAAAACTTTATCTTCTCACAATCAAACAAGAAAGAGAATACAAAA